GGAGCTCCCTGCCGCGTTTGTTAACAAATAAATTTGTCACGAAGATGGGGGAAATAAAGGAAAAAATTAGGAATTGAATAATTATTCTTCACCGGAAAGAAGAATTAAATTGCGATATTTGTTTTTGCAATTTTTTCGCTTCTTATTTACTCTATTCCTCCTTTCTTTTTTCTTCATTTATTTCCTTTTTTTGCCTTCTCTTCCTAAAATTTTCTATTTGTTCCACCAGTTGAGTAACGAGGTGCTTAAAACAATTTAAGAAAATGATGTTTAACGGTGGTCATTCTGGGTGAACGAAAGTGAAAAGGAGCGCGAAAAATTTTGCAAGAATATTACTGTAATTAAGGAAAGCGATGAGGATGGAGGAGAGAAGGGGCTGCGAAGAGCAAGGACAAAATGCTGAATTTGGTGACCGAATGTAACGGACTGAGTAATGGAAAAGCTTATTTGTTGGTTGCCTGTTGTGTAGATGAAACAAATACAAGTAATGAAGAAAAAAAAACTTTACTTTTAGAATACGTTTCAAAACAACGTCTAAAAACTTGACATCAATTTACAGCTATCACTTTAAAAAAAACCAGAGAAGAAAATTTATTCATTGTTTTTTCTTTTCCTGTTTTAAACTACTTTTCTTTTCTTGTATCCATTCTTTCAACTTTTGTTGTTCTAAAAGAATAGCAATGATTGGAGAAGTCTTAGTATCCGCTGCGACAAATCAGTCGTTTCTTATTCCGTTGGAAAACTGAGACAAATGAAATAGTGCTGTTGTTACAGTACCTTTTGCAATTTTTTGAGCAGTAATTAATTACAGCCCAATAATTTTCAAAATATGTAATATTAATTTGAAATTGATAATATTTGTCCTGCTATTCAAATTACATATTTTTATTTTCTTCTTTAAATGTCTAAGAACAACAAATGAAACTTTTTTTTTGCAAAGAAAAAAAAAGTGAAAAAAAAATTATGAAAGAACTATACAGACTTTACTATTCAATCCTTATAATCAACATCATTGTCG